AGAATAACACGTGATTATGAGCTTGGGCTACCTGTGGACAATTTGTGACTGATAAGCGACGACAAAGAAAAATAAGCCCGAAATTTAAACTCTGGGTTCCACAGGAACCCCGAGTAATGAGTTGTAGGAGGTCAAATTTAAGACTATTTTACTTGATCACCCCATTCATGCTGCTTGCATCACCGTGCCCAGGGTCAAACGGTTCTATCACTCGTTCCAAAAAAATAGCCATGGGTATCTTGTTCTGGTTATTGAGTTCAATCAATACAACGATATAGTTTTGCTTTCTAACATGACTCTGAACTAGTCAATATCATGAATGGCTTATAGATGTAGAATGATACTTGAACAAACTCCTTAGTGTTAAATATATCAGGATGTGAAGGTTGAGTTTGGAAGTGAGTTTTGTCGCTCTTGTATACCCATCATGATGCATCCGAGTTATTTTATCACTGACCAATCAAGAACAAGCACAGATCGATAAAAGTTTCAATTGAATTGAAACTCTTATCGATCTGTGCTTGTTCTTGATTGGTCTTCACAATGAGTCGATTCCTCTGATTGGCTAACTAATTTATCGGTCGCCATTTTGAATTTCCAAGCCAGAAGATATATTAATTGCCTTCATGCAAAGGTGTACTATTTCTGAAAGAAAGGAACGATCAGAAAATTAGCCACGAGTTCCCTATCGTTTTGATATTTGTTTATTTCGGTATAAAAAGACTTTTGCGTTTATGGAATAATTGAAGCTACAAACACTGTTAGTGAATTAATTATCGAGTAACGTTAAGTGCAAGAATCGACTGGAAGCCGCGTATACATTGTGACAATTGTTATGAGGAAATATTGCATAATGCAACGTAAACGCAGATATTGACGTCACATAATGATGGTCTGTTGTCTAGCCTACATTTCTCAAAAGTTCTATAACGAGATGTTATGGTACTAAAAACGTATTTTGAAGTCTACTTTCTTGATCGTGTTTAACTGCTTACCAAAGATGCCATATATGGCATTGACATTACAAGCAGATGTATTCCAAGCTCATCGCCTATAGCAACACAATATATGCTGTAGTAACAAACATTCCATTCAACAAAATTAAACATGGCAAAACGGTTGACGAAACCAGTTTCAACAAAAATGTATATTTTTAAAGAGGCTTAGTTCGAGTTTCGAACTCATTTATTGCTATGTGAGCATTCAGCAAGAACCCCAAAATATAAAATAAGTCAAAAAATAAATAAATAAATAAATAAATAATAATGGAAACTTTATTTGTTTATACATTCATACAGTTGAAAATCTCACTACGTATAGGCAATTTACAACTGGCTACTTGAATTGATAAAAAAAAATATATATATATGATATATATATGAAAAATTTCATCAAAAAACTAAAAAAGTGCTCAACAACAATATAAAAGTCGGAGCTGTATTAAATAAAATAGAAAATTACAGAACAAACTACTGTATTTCCATGATGTAATTTTCACTACAATATTGTTTCACTACAATATTGTTTCGTATGATGAGTGTGGTCCTCTGGACCATACGAAACAATATTGTAGTGAAAATTACATCATGGAAATACAGTAGTTTGTTCTGTAATTTTCTATTTTATTTTATATATATGATATATGTACAGCTGTTTGCAATAATTCTGACCCCCTCTGCCATATTTCATATATATCAAACTGACCTTTAATATTATGGGATATCATGACTGATATATTTTTTTAGTTGTCCAGAATGAGTACTTTCTCAAAAAAATATCAGCATTGGCATCCCATAATTTCCAAGGATACCTTGATATATATGAATAATAATAATAATAATACAGCTGTTTGCAATAATTCTGACCCCCTCTGCCATATTTCATATATATCAAACTGACCTTTAATATTATGGGATATCATGACTGATATATTTTTTGAGTTGTCCAGAATGAGTACTTTCTAAAAAAAATATCAGCAATGGTATCCCATAATTTCTAAGGCTATTTTGATATATATGAATATTAGTGTAGGGGGGTCAATAATAATAATAATAATAATAATAATAATAATAATAATAATAATAATAATAATAATAATAATAATAATAATAATAATAATAATAATAATAATAAAAATAAAAATAAAGGTTACCCAATGTAGCGCGGTAACATACAGTATCTTAACCAGTCTCCATGTGATATGGTATACTTTAGTGCATGGTTCAAAAGTTGCTTAATTCTAAAATTCATAGAATTGATTTTGTATAAAATCATTTCAGGAGTAGTGGTGATTTTTAGTTTCCTTTTTTCTTTCGTTTTAATTATGGCATCATCATGCATTACAGTATGAAAGCTTTAATGAACCTTTTTAATTTGGAATTGAAAAGATGAAGAATAAGTGCTATCCGCGTGATGTATATCTTTTCAAATAACTAAAAGGCACTTCCAAGTAGAGAGATATATCGATATATAATTAATTCTTGCTTGGGAGCGTATAAAGACATTGTGCGAAGGAAAAAAAAACAATTAATTAAACACAGATATGAAGAAGTTTATTTTTCAGAATAAATTGCGTGGGACCGGATTTGAACTCTTTTAGTATAGATCTCACTGTCAGTAAAACTGTGGACGATGTTTTGATCGAAAAAGAAATAATTCCTGTCAGCAATTATGACTTTTGTGTTACAGTTCCTGTTTCCTTACATCCGACATTGAAGTTTCATTGACGGCAAAAATATGATATTTCCATTTGCCGATATCTTATTGGAGTTATATGTTGAATTGTTTATCTATTATGAGAGATCTTTAAGACATAAATATATCTAGATGATTAGCTCACGATACATGGAATAGTGTAATATGAAAGAAAGAATAGGACTAAATAATCATATATTGCTCATATTAAGTGCAAATTTGAAGTGATAAGCTTGAATATCCCCACAGTAATTTAAAATTGAGTGTTCCTTCTCAGAGCGTTTATATTTTTTATGTATTTCCTAATGTTGCTTTTCGTGACAACCAAGAATTTTTCCCAAAATAATATTATGTGTAATGTTCTTTAGATTCAGCTCTCGAAATATCAGTCACCGTTTTATTTCTAGAACGACAGATTTATAAGTTAATTAACTGGAATATTGTTTTCTTAGAAAAAAGATGAAAACAATTACGATAAAACACGACAAAAGGGAATTGCTCAATTCAAACCTCTCGGGGTGTCCTCTAAGGTTGGTTTTCACGCAATCGATCAAATTTATCCGTAGGAGTGGTTTCAACAGGGGGCTAGAGCTCCTAATGTTTTGTGAATGATCACCGCGTGATGTTGAATAAAACTCATCACAATAGGACTTTTAAATATTATTATAGCTTGCCGCTCTGCGTTCTATGGATCATGTCTAAAAATAAATATCCAGTTCCTGTATACTGACATTTATATCATATGGCGTGGAATTATTTTTTAAAGCATTTTATCTTGACTTGGTCGATTAAAATATCACTCTCTATCTTGTTTCCAAAGAAATGGAATCRAATACAGTTTGAGTGATCGATGTTATTAGAAAACTTCGGTTTTTAATAACTAGCAAAATGGGAACAGAAATTTCGTAAGTGTCTTATCCGCCCCTGCAAAAGATTAAAGTTATTGAAATCAGAAAAAAAGGTTTTTTTTTTTCAATCTTAGCAGCGAAAAAGTCCTTTTTAGTATATTTTTATTCAGCCATCTACGGCAACATCTCAAAATACAACTTGAAACAATTTTTACCGACATGACACTATTTCAGTCTAGCTGCTGGCACGGCTTTGTATAGATGAGTATTGTATGTCATGGTAAACAAGGTTTTGTATGGAGGTGTCCGCATATTCCGGTTAGTTAATGAAAAGTCTTCGGTTCTTTCCATAACAAAGCTATTCTGAACATCTTTTACTCGCCGTTGCGATATCAAATATTTGACTAAACCAATCTCTATAGCCAATTTCCAAAGTAAATTCAGTAGGATCCGATTTCACAAATGATACAACTGTTCCAGTGGAATCTCCCTATATATATATACTAGGTTAATAACGGTGATATCCAAAAAACTTTTAAATCTTTTTACGATGAAGATGGTTCTCGAAAACGCCGGCTTGTTCTAAATTATTTCTGGTTAATTTGCAGTAATACTTCTACAGAAAGTCCTTCCTTTCGGACATTAATGCCGACTAATGACTATATGAACAAAAGTCTTTATAATATGTTAAAAAACATCCAGACTGCCACTAAAGGTCGAATATCTTGCTGATGTTTAATTCTGTGCAATTCAAAAATAGTATGTGTTTTTAAGAAACATTCAGCTGCGGAAGAAAAGACACTGGAGTGTAAAAACTAGTTGACAGTAAACATCAGAAACTCCTCAAGAAGACAATTCCCTTTCGGAATCAATTCGAAAGTGTGCCCTTTGGTTTCTTTAAGTCATTCTGTTAAAAGCTTTTCACAAAAACTCTGATGTGAACTTCCTAAACTTCTTGATTTTCATTTCTTTTTCWTAAGTTGTTGAATCACTCTTAAGGCTCACTGTTATGTCAAATTTCTTAACTGTTCAAAGAATGGACGTTCGTTGCTCATCCGCTTTTTTGTTAAGTTCTTAATTGCTCGGGTATAGCTTTACAATCAAAACAATAGCTCGAACTTCTACTAATCAAATTGCATGAAGCAATGACGGTGTTAAAACTACAGAAGGCGTCATCAAACAATTCTGACTCTTTTCCCTTATTTTTTAAAGCAGCTGGTCTAAGGCTTAAAGACGCGGTGAATAATGTGAGGTGTGCTACACACTTCAGGGTGTAAGTACAATTAAAAGAATTGTGTTAACACGTTGCACAGTGTGTACATTGGACAATTGATTGCTCTTGAGATTAAAAAGCCCCCAAAGGAGATTGCAGCGGAAAGAATTTATTGACAATAATCGTCATCTAACTAAAGCTGCATTGGGGGCACAATATATAAAGGATACAAATACTAAGATTTCTCTACACAAATCAACTTAAAGTAATTAACTACGAAGGGTATTAATCTGCAAGGATCATTGCTCTTCCAACATGGCCTTGCACTATACTCAATGGATTGTTCTTTCGTTTGTTTTAGCTTTTTGTTTAGTACAATCAACACATTCAGTTGTACCTAGAGAAAAAGTCGCTCAGGATTCAGCTCAAAATCCATGGGGCCCTTGTGGTCGGCATGCATGTGGGAAAAGAAACCACGAGCCTAATTCTGAAAAAGAATCAGCTGAAAATGTATTTAAGAAGGGAGCCACTGTTGTTGGAACAACCGATAAAAAGGTTTCTAGATTAAACGTGATCTCTCTTAAACACCGATGTGGTCGATTTGGACTATGTAGAAAAAGAAATTTTCTTCCTGCTCTGCCCAAAGGGAAAAAAATGCTCGATGATCAATTACACCCAGATGAACAACACCCAAAGACAGCGGATCAATCCAAGCACGAAATTGCTGAGCCAAAATCAAGGTGCCTTCCATTTGGATGCAAGAAATCCTTCGATCAAACTGTAATGAGGAACCAACAAAAGAAACCATTTTCGGATGGAATGAAAGATATGCAGTGTGGTACCATATTTGGCTGCTATGTAAAGAAGAACGCTTCTCCAGTACAAGGAAAACACATTAGGCAAGAAATGAAAGCGGAAAACAGAAAAAGTCTCAATAACGATCTATTGATCCATAGAAGATTTTTTCGAAAAAGCCAGGGTGAAAATTAAAGACTCAAAAATTGAATTAGACAATAAAGGTAAGAAACGTATTAATCAAATTTTCTTCAATAAGACTTAAGATATGTAAACTATCAAAAAAAAGTGAAAATATTTTTCTTTCAAATCCAATCCTACATCATGAACAATACATATTATAGCTAAAACCACCTATGCCTTATTTGAAATGGTATACCTTGCTATACCTAATACCTAATACCTAAAAAAGCCAGTCATTTCTTTGCCAAATATTGATCCAAATCCATATAAAGGCGTGGCATCTATCCCCCTTACGATAAAGGTTCACTATCAAATCGTTTCTAATCAGCAGGATTATCTTCTAACGTTTTTTAGTAGCAATGATATCAAAGACAGATTGTCTATGATACGGGTTAGAAACGAATGCAATTCGACACCAACATTCGTTTCTAGCCCGTATCATAGACAATTTGTCTTTGATATCATTGCTACTAAAAAAACATAAATATATTTGATACCTTTAATATCATTCTTTTTTTTTTGTCTGATACACTAGTTGCCAAGTTATCGTTAGCACTGCCATGAGATTTGTCATTTTGTTGTCCCAGTTGCAAAACAAAAATCCAATAAACTATAGCTGATCTAAAAAATTGATTCAGTTATGATCGAGTAAACTACCGGGTAATTAGGATTGTTAAACACCTTTATGTATTAAAAATGGCTTTCTCGATTTGGTTCATTTGCGTGCGTGAGTCATCAATCTGTTGGCGAGCCGATTTTATATCCGCGTTTTAAACGATATGAATTGGCTGTTGATACTGGCTTCCTCAACTTCGCATCTGTGAGTGGTGAAGCACTGCGACTTTAAGACACCATTATTTTTTGTAGTTTATGAAGAAGTAAATGCTTATAAGAGGCCAATACAACAGACAGTCTTTCCTCAATCACAATTTAGTTTTCATAATTAATATTCCTTTAACCCCTTACTCGTTAAGAGTTCTTTTTTACAAATATTTTCAGTCCTTTTTAAAGTCCGTTATCTTAATCCAGCTTCTTTTAGTTTTTGCTCTTTTGCTCTTTAGTTTCCGGTATTCAGTGAAATGAATAGTGTTTGAATACATCAGTCATTTGAAACCCTTAAACCCCACCTTCTAGGGAAGAATTGGGGAATTAATATACATTATATAGGCAATTTTAACAACTTTAACAGCACAGTTGTTAAATCAGTTGAAAACACAATTATAATCCGGCAAAGTTAAAATCTATTGAGTGATTTTTCCTCTCTAAGCTCTTGGAAATACTGTACTTTTAACATTCGGAAATGTACCCCGGTACTACCTTGGAGGACCGTGATGACCCTGGTTTCATTTAACTGATGCATAAGAGGGCTTTTGATCGTATATAATTCAATAATTGACCGTTTAATATGTGATGATATTTGCTTCGTCTGATCATGCTAAAGTTAAATGAATGAATGAATAATGTCAATGCATATTTCGATATCAATCTCTAAAAATATTATAAACCTTATGTAAAAAAAAATAATATTATGTTCTTTGTAGGTAGAAAGCAGTAGAATCGACTTAAAGGAAACCTTACCAACGACAGCGGACAGTCAGAACACTTGAATTAGTTCCAAAGAAATATTTTTAGGAACAGCTACTTTCTTTCCTATAGATTTAAACGTGATGTCTGCATCTTGATGTAAAAACCTGACCTCAATTATTTTCTAAGAGCAATACATATCAAGAAGGAGCTGCATCTTCAAAGGGGATTAATCGCAGCCATTCTAGAATAAAAACTTGTAAAACGGACACCAAAGCAATTAATAAACTATTGGATTTGTAAACAGAGTAATGTATTGTTTTTCAATCTGTGACTGGGGGGGAGCTCATTCGCCCCCCCCCCTCAATATCTTCGGAACCAATACGTCTATGAGCATGAAACTTTCACACAATGGTCGCCCACGTAAAACGAACCACCACACCCAGTCGAGACCCGTGGGAATCAAATGTGGCGTCATAATGACGTCATTTTTACCTTTTTAACGATTTATAATTCATTTGAATAAATTGCCTACAATTCCATAGGCTACCCAACTATTGCTTGAGAGAAAGAAAAGAATGAATGCGCACGCTTTTATATTATGTTATCGAATCGGCGCGCGCTGTGGGTTACCTGTGGTATTACCTGTGGTATTACGTCACTATCGCGCGCCTCGCGGGATACAAACTAGTCTGTGACAAGGTATGAAACACTGGTCACGTGACAAATATAATTTTGCTCCTTTTTCAACGAAAAACAACAGAACACGGCGATTTTCTTTCAAATAACAACACATCGTCAGGTTTCCTACCTACCTCATGATTTTCAGTGTGAAATGTACATTACGTGACGAGAAAATGAACATTAAAAGCATTTCACTCGCCGTAGACCGATGTGTGCCCCAGGTACTATCTATCCCTCCCTATCGTTTTTTTTCGTATAGACTTCGAGAGCTTTCGGAAAACATTCGTGAGCTCCTCGAGATGAAAATAAAAGTCAAGGATAAATTTATTTTCTTAAAAAAAGGAAAAGAAAACACRCTGGAAAAATGTAATATAAACAAAAACAAATTAAAAAGTTATAAAATATGGAAACCTTTCGAGGTCTTCAAGGTTCAGACAAAGAAACATTAGTAAAAACATGACAAWTATGAGCTTAGTTATAATAAAATTAAAAATCTAATCCAGTGAACAGTTCATATTGATAATACTGAAAAGCTTTATTACAGTTTCAAAGTACAAATATAAGCTTACATGATTTTGAACAGTGTTGATCTCAGTCACCTTGGCTTCAGTAAACAACCAAAGTTGTACATGCAATCTTGATGGTTGTTGAGTGCATACAATTCATTTTACCAGATTTTTAACAAAGCGTTTTCAAGTTTTCAAGCATCTAAAATTATTAGACGACATTATTCATTATAAAAATAGACGAATTCTTCATCATAAATATCTAAACCAAGCGGTAAAACGTAAGCTTACTGTTCACTCGAGTTTTCCGGCTTTCTCCGTTGGTTTACACTAACAAAAAAAAATCTGGCTAAAACTATCATTACATGTAAAGAAATATCTCTTTTCCAACTACTCACTCCATCAGCTTGATTCCTGCTCATAAACATAGTTATCTATGTCATAAACAAACAACTCTAAGACCTGTAAAAAATTATCCACGACGTCTATCTGCTTCGCCTTCGGTTTTCAAGGTGACTCAAGTGTCTTGAAAAACATGTTTTCTCTTAAAAAAATTGCTCCTTACAATGCACAGTCCCATCTTTTGCACGAAGCTTCAAGTTTCAAAACATTGATATGTAGGTTTCCGTAAAAAACTACAAAGAAACCCGAGAAAAATCAATGAAAGATCAACCAAGTTTATGGCAGTGAATATGTGGCAGCGACGGAGCGACGAAAAGGATCGACATTATCGGTCGACTATCGGAAAAATGTCGAGCGATACGACTGTTTACGAAAGCTCTCGAAGTCTATACGAAAAAAAAACGATAGGGAGGGATAGACACTGTACCTGGGGCGCACATCGGTCCATCACGTGACCAGTGTTTCATACCTTGTCACAGACTAGTTTGTATCTCGCGAGGCGCGCGATAGTGACGTAATACCACAGGTAATACCACAGGTAACCCACAGCGCGCGCCGATTCGATAACATAATATAAAAGCGTGCGCATTCATTCTTTTCTTTCTCTCAAGCAATAGTTGGGTAGCCTATGACAATTCCATAGAGAATGCTTCAATATCATCTGTTTATTATTATTGAAATGACTTGAAAATAATATTTTTGTATTTTTTAATCGACATCTGTTCTATATGACGTCACAATGACGTCATAGATATCAGGTAATTTTTATAAATTATAAATCTTTATCTAGATAACCAGTTAAATATCATATTTAGGCGTTACTGCTCTCCTGCGATGTTGTGGTTCGTTTTGTATCCATGGTAACAGTTTTGACGTCATAATTGTGATGTCGTCATTTCCTATAGTGTCTTTGTCGTCTTTGAATAGAGCGGATTTCGTATGACTGTGCAAAAAACACGACACTTTCGTGCCGTGATCGTACCGTGCCGTGACGGTGATATTTTACCAATGGTTTTCTTAGTAGATATTCCATTCTGACTGTACGTGCCGTGACGGTGCCGTCTCGAAAATTGCACTGTCCGTGATTCCTGATTTTGATTGGCTGATCGAAGATTTCTAGCATCCTGATTGGCCGAAAATCATTGTGGAACGAAGCCTTCGTGCTGTGTTGTTGTCGTGCAAACTCAAAGACCTAAAGAACTTCATATACGCTCGTTTTCATTCCATCTATCTCTCCTGAAAGTAACTGTTTGATTTCTGTGCTGAATAATGGCGTGGCGTTTGAACGAAAAAGGAGGATTTTACAAGCAAGGAGGTCAAACCTCGTTTCAAAAGCGGCATGAAATTCTGTCCAATTTTCTTGCGACTGGAAATATCACTAAAACAGCAGAAAAATGCCTTTGCTCTTACAATTTAGTGAAAAAAATAGTTCAGAAATTTCAAAACACTGGACTTTGTGAGCCAGGAAATCGGGGTAAACCCGCAGGAAAGATGGATGCTTGGAAACGAGCGTATGTTGAAGGTCTAGTGACCTTAGATCCATTTCTCTACATTGAAGAAATTCAAGAGGCTCTAAGAAATGATTTAAATCTTCAAAATCATGAGGTGCCATCGTGCAGTGTAATTTGCAGAACATTACAGGAATTAGACTTGACAAGACATAAAGTAACAAAGGTAGCAGAAGAACGGTTTACTCAACTGAACATGGCTCGACGACAAGCTTTTATACGATGGAGGGCTACTATAGACCCACGGCGAATGTTCTTTTTGGACGAAACGGCGTTCCAGATGAAGGACGAAGTAAGAGAGGTGGGGAGATGCCACACAAATGAAGTGTTACCGTTAGTAACCCCGAAAGGTGATGCAAGGGAAAAGATGTCAGTACTCGTTTTGGTCGGTTACAATGATGGTGTGCTCTCTGTTTACCCAAATTATGGCAGTTTCAATAGATTATCTTTTAATTATGGTCTTCAAAACTTTTTATTACCTCTTATCCCTCCACATTCTTATGTAGTCATGGATAATGCATCCATTCACAATGAACAAGACATTATTAATATTCTAACTCCAATTAATTCAACACTTGTTAAATTACCTACTTATTCGCCTGATTTGAATCCTGTAGAAATGGTCAATGGAGTAGCCAAAGTATTTTGTAAACGTAATCAGGGCTTACTCCGCCAAAATATGCCTTTTGCAATTGTTCATTCCTTTTCTCAAGTACCTTCTCAGGCTGTACAAAGATTTTATAGAAAAAGTTGGCAGATTTTTGTGTGATTTGTATGACACAAACTCAAATAAGTTTTTTGAGTTACAGATTTTACAATTTTTTAAATTAAAAATATCTATGCAAGTGAAGTTTTCGACTGCTTTTTTATAAAATCCTTTACATAACAGAATTATTTGGTACATTATGATATCAGTCAATTTTTATACAATTTTTCCAGAAAAAGCTTATAGATTATTGCAAATGATGTGAATTTGACCATGCAATTCAGAGTGTGATATATAAAAATGATCAATATTTAGTTTCACCAATCCATCATATTCAAATGAAAAAGGCTTGATCACAATTATGTCACATTGCCATTTGCTAGGAAGTTACAATAGTACTGTTGTATTCATTGTATTGATTTTGATGAAATAAATCTGGTCATTTCAAAACTATGTGGATGTTGTATGCCAGTTGCAGTTTGTATTTTCCTAAAGGTTCCCTGCTCATATTTTCTATATTTTTACATAAGAAACAGAGTTTGCATTTGGCCCTTATTTTTGACACATATGAATAAATATATAGTTACTCACTATTAAATTAGATTATTAATAATATTGCTTCCTGCTTTTGCCTGTCACCTTATGTTAGTACGCAAGCTACACTGAGCTGTTCAACAGAATGGGCTAGAAAGGGTCTGAGGTTGGATTAATAAGATCTAAATATTGGGAGAATATTTGGAAGACAGGTCGAGGGATAGTATTCTTGTATAACATTGTAAATTGATGTCTTTGCTATTTTTTATATTTTTAAAACAAGTAACCAGAGTTGTTATATTCCTGATTTTGAGGAGGATCTGGGTACAACAGGGAATTGGACTCAGTCCCACTCATCCCTAATAACTTGCATGTTCAAGGATTATGGGTAACTTGTACAGCAGCTGAACAAATCTCATCATCTATGTCACAAATGCTAGAATTACAAGGAGGAAAATAGCTTATCAAAGAAATATTTGGCAGTAAGTATATGCAGAATGTCAATGAATTACCAAACTTGAGTTTCTTATACTTATATAAATGCTCTCTTTTTCACACTTGACTGAGTACAATGTTGAATGCTAGCAAATGTGATACAAGCTTAAGCTAATATTAATCAAGCAAGGACCAGTTATTATAACATGATTTTTACTTTTAAATTTGGGATATGTTTTTTAAATAGCTGCTTTTTGTTAATAAGTAGCCACATTCTAAAATATTTTAATATTTAAAAAAATGGTGCTAATTTACAATTGCCACAAAATCAAAAACACACTAACAAAATAATAAAAGATAAATAAGTTAGTATATAATGATGATGAGAAATTATTTACAAAATATTTACATTCATTCAAATAAGTTAAAAAATGATTTTGAAAAGTTATAGAGTGAATGTCAATGGAACTCGTGAAATATATATTTGACTAAATACATGTTATTACTGAAAAATATTACTCAGCTATTTGCTAAGACAGTCATTGAACGTTATGAGTTACTGTTAACTGCATTGTGATAAGAAAATGAAGAGCATTCATTAAAACAGTTTTCCCCAGCTGGAAATTCTCAATCATGTTTAGAGAGTAATAGTTTAGTTGTGCAATGAAGATTAATTAACTTGTTTTAAAATAGGCTAATTTCTATCAGAAACACAACTTTTTCAAGTGTGATCAAAAGATAAAATAATTGTCAAACTTGATCTTTTCAAGTTTATCTTCTGCATTGCAAACTAATCCTCAAGGAATCTGTCAATGAAAAATTATGAATACCCTGGTAGGTAATGACAATTTTAAAAGATGACATGATCCATTTTACATGTACATAACATTATAATTTCTAGTGGACGAAGCTAAATAAATAAATAAATATACAGCTGTTTGCAATAATTCTGACCCCCTCTGCCATATTTCATATATATCAAACTGACCTTAAATATTATGGGATATCATGACTAATATATTTTTTTAGTTACTTTCTCAAAAAAATATCAGCATTGGTATCCCATAATTTCTAAGGCTACTTTGATATATATGAATATTAGTGTAGGGGGGTCAGAATTATTGCAAATAGCTGTACCTTAAAATATATAAAATATACCTTATAAAAGGCTGTCCTTCCTACTTCAAATAACTATAATGTGAGGTGAAGTGCACATATTCACTTAGTTTTCTTTTGTCAAATCTCTTAGTTTCAAGTTCTATGACACTATCAAATATAAGTTATGATTTCATTTTTTTTGCTTAATTATGCAATTTAGTATGAATACTGCTTTTGTAGTCCAATCCATCACATTTTGAATGTATTCTAACTAAACTGCACCGTCAAATAAATTTTGTCTTTAATTTGTTTTCCTTAAGACTTACAGCAAACCATGAAGAAAACGTATCGATCTTTTTGACTCTGAGACATACTCAAAAGTTTTGAATAGAAGTGCAATATTATTATTATAAGACCTTATAATGATGTTTGAAGGTAAAGCTCAACTTTCAGTTCTTCTACTCTCTTTATAAATCAATACTTGTAAACTGACTGTAATAATCTTTACAGTCCATTGTCATATTTTGAAATGAATAAGAAATATTGAGATAAAGGAGGAGACAAAAACGATTCAATTTCACTTCTTCTGGTAAAGCTGGTGTCAGCTTTATTATGGAAGCCTTGTCAACAAACATCATGACTCACCTTAATATGCCATACCAACTATAAGAGGAAATCTTAGTATATTTATCAATACCCGGATAATTAGGATTTTGGGTTAATGGAAGAGCAAGTTATTTTCCTTTGAATGTCAGTTGGTAATGGCCCTTTAAGGTGGGTCATCAGTTGCAAAATGCCAAATTAGTAATCAATGATCGACAGTGTTAACTTTTGCTTTCTTCAGACCAACTGCAGTTAAACCTGTCTTGAGCAACATCTACATGATAAAACGGCAATTCTCTATACTATGATGTATTCAGATCACAATTCAATGTTATGAGTCCATCAAAGTTGATGTGGCATTTTTCAAAATAATGATGACCCACCTTAAACCTCTTACTTAATGCCATATAACATGATTGTTTTCAAAATTCATTTTTCATTACTTTAGGAAGATGTTTTTGTTTTCAAACCATTTGATTATTTTTTTATAAACACTTCAGATATTGAATTTAATATCTGTAGCGCTTGTTATATGGCATGAAGCAAGAGGGGCAGTTGTTATTATTAAGGAAAGCAGGCCACTCCAGTCCACAGTAATTGCAGCGATGCGGCCTGCGACCGTCACTGCAATTACTGTGACTGGCCTGTGACCCACTTTCCTGTGAAAGTGCTACTGATAAAGGATTTGTAGTAGATGTGCTTATATCGGGAATGTTGTTTGTAGAAAAGGAGATGCAGGGATCATCACAAAAAGAAAGGGAAGCACCCACATTACCTTGCGCTCCAGATTGTGTTGTATCTATGCTTGGCACAGACACTCCACAATGTGGAGCAGAAGGTACATGTGAGACCTCCCCATCCTTAATGTTCTGATCATTGAGCAGGAAGCTCAATACCAGTTCCAGGTTTCCATTGGCCTGCTCCAGTGTTGAATTCAATGTAATTGCGTCAATGCTTGGAAACATTTCCTCCAGAAATGAAAGTTTCTGGAGGAAAGAGGTTTTGCATGCAGCTGTACTGTTGGAATGTGATGTTTGCTGTGTTAATTAAAGAAATATCATATCTTTATTAGCATTTACAACATATTTGTAATTGTATAGGGCAGTATCAAGTACATCTCACTGTCAACCTAGTTCATATTTATTCAATGAACAAATTAGTATATTACAAAACTCATTGGCATGCAAAACTTAAAGGGACATGGTCCACTAGCATGCAATGCAGTTGTGTTTTAGATTTTTCATATATGGAAAATGAGGCGACTTCGAATATCTATTTGCAATCCGTTTCCATCCATCGGTTTAAAGGTCGAATCTTACAGTATTTCCATTCATATAGTATGATACAGAGTAAGTTTTTGCTTATATTACAGTGTATTTTTATTTTCAAACATAAACAAAAGCTCGAAAGGGATGCTGGTGGACCATGTCCCTTTAATTGGTGGGAAATATTCTGTTTCCATAGGTAATAACAAAGTAAATAGTACATAACAAAATGATTACAAAATAAATACATACATTAGATGACGATTGTGACACAGCAATATTTGAAGATGCCTGAGGTTTGCTCTAAAAAACAATAACGATAAAAAAACTTTCAAGCACTACATATAGTGAAAACAATAAGCTTTCAAACATGGAAAGTTGTCCTATCAGCAGCATATTATTGGAAAAGATGAAGAGTGCTTTAAGCTTTCAAAAGAGAGAATAAGTACTGTAAATTATATCTTTGATAACATAAATTATCTAATTCTTGGTCTTTTTCAGATTTATCATGAAAACAGGATTCTTTGAAATACCAGCTTCTAATGATTTATGCAAGACACTTAACTTACTTGGAAAGGAGAAAAGCTCCTAAAAGCTCTCCCTAGGTTTACCATGAATGGAATATCGGTATTTGTTTTTTGCTGGCTAAAGAAACTGTGAAGATGCTGATTAAGCTGCTGATTTCTTTCATCAGTTCTTCTCTGTCTGGTGTTCTCTAGCAAAAATAAGAAAAAAGGTGAACTACCAGTGTAGTTATAATTTTTGAGCTTGCCATCTTTTCATAAATGTATTAAAACATTACTTGTAATTTATATTGTATATATAATATAAACGAATCTAAAAAAATTCTAGAGAAATATACTTCTAGTATGTTTCTCCTTAATTGTAAATAGCAGAATTATTTGCAAATCATGTAATTTAATTTAATTCATGTAATTTTGTATAGTATATTAATGTGAAATAAAATGATTACCGTAAAAAAATATATATATAAATAAAGGGTGTTGTTTAATTTACAATAGGTGTTGACTAAAAGTTACAAATTATAAACAGCAACTAATGCTTGTAAATTATGAATAATAAAATAAGTAAGAGCTTAAAAAAGCTTAAGTAATTTATGACAACTTGTTTGAACGATATTGCGGTATTAAATGTCAAAATAAACAACACTATATTATTCTTACCTGCTCTTTTCGATACATTTGAAGGCCTGCTGTTTGGCACTGAATTTGCCAAAACAGCAGGCACCAGGGACGCATTTAAATCTCCGGAGGAGGCGACGCCGGAGGCAGTTGTTGTGCTGCTCGTAGATCTTCGCGCAGAAGCGCGATCCCTATCACGGSCATTTCTTTCCCGGATAGTRTTACAAAGATTRCATATGCAATGMGAAAATKGGCAGTTGCCCCTGTGCCCATTTACTGGTATCACAATATTGTGATTGGCGCAAAAGCGACAACATCTCGWTCGTACTACGTTTTGATTCATGTTTTCGCAAGGAAAAAAAATCGGCTCGCTTTCCTATAAATAGACGCGCGCGCGCGACCGGCCAGTCGTACCAGCATTTTCGCGCCATTTTAATTATGTCCTTTTTTACTCATTTTCCTATTCAAATATAACCAAAAGTAATAAAAAATTGCATTTCAACCAAAAAAACACCATCATGTGGAGTCGAATGAGCTGAATTAATGAATTTCAAACTACAATATAACAATTAACTCTCCTAAACCGAGGATTAAGGTCGAACAAAATCATTTAATGACATGAACTGAGGATATTCTGGAGGCCAAAAAGATTCAAATGGTTTCTTTGCCTCTGAACTGAAGTAAAAACTACGAAAAAACACTTCTTTGTCAGAAACTAGCGCATTCCGTTATGTCAAATCTGCACATTCCGTTTGGAGATAAAACAAATACAAAGTTCACGTATTATTTACAAATAATTTAATGAAAAGTTTAGCAACAATCTAAGCATTACAAATACAATTCATAGTCAAAGACAAACCCTGAAATTGGTTTTCAAAATCCATTGAAGAAACGCCAGATCTTCCATGTGCTCGGTCGATCAACAGTTCACACGTTTGAAATCGAACCTCGCTTTCAATTTGATGGCGTCACCACCAGGCGAGGTTCCGTGACCGTGCCGTACCGTGTCCGTGTTGTGATCCGTGTCTTTGCACAGTCATACGAAATCCGCTCTAATTTGACTCCAAATCTCACTTTTTTTTGTCTACATTGTTTTTTTTATGGTAAAATTTACAATTTGAGAAGTTTTTGAAATTAAACAATTTGGAACAAGCAATTTTGAGAAGAATATCCGCCATCTTAAGATCCGACATCTTGGACCGCCATCTTGAATTTTCTAAAATGCCATTAAAAAACTAAGCATTGAGGCAAACAGTTCAAAATGTCTTAAATACTTCTCAAACTAACATTTAATGAATAAAAAAGTGAGTTGCGAAGTGTTACTGATGATTTTAATGAACTTTTCTCCCATGTAAAAAAAATGACAGAAAACTACCCACCCCTTCCCCCAAAGTTTTTGGTGTCGAAAATGGCAATGGGAGCAAGCTCAAATAGGTAAAAGATGCATAATAAAACAAGAAATAAGCTTTGAAAATGAAAAATTAAGCATATTTTACATTTTTGAAAACCTATGTATCAAAAACTGGTTGCCATGGCGACATGTATGACGTTATCAACAAACAATTTACATCAAAATCTGCACAGATAAATTTTAGGAAAAGTGCGAAAGTTTCATAGCCCTAGCTGTCATGGTTCGAAAGTTATTGGCTTTTTACGCGAGTGGGGGCTCAACCCCCCCCCCCCAGTTTGAATAGCGTTAATACAATAATCATTTATGATAACTCTCTCTAACTCTCTCTAAACGTCATCGCGTTCATTGTCCTGAGTCACGTCCCGACTCCTCTCTCTCTCATTCCTCCTCGTCAAGCTGTGATCAAGACCGTAATGGGCTCGTAATGAACTGAAATCGCGATCGTTTTTAAATTCGATATTATTTGTGGCGTTTCCAGTAGGCTTCATGACATTTCCACATATGTACAGTGCTAAATCGTCTGTATCACAGAAGGAGCCGACGGGGTCTGTTCTTCTAAAGAACTGTTCTTGTACGATTTTTTCCTTGGAAAGGATTTTGAGCTATATTGTTGACAAACTCACAAGCAAATGAATAATTTTGTTCCTGGAAAACGGTTTTAAGGTCAAATAAATGCTTATTTAACGTTTTCATGGTCACTGAAAAATGGCTTATATCTTTTTCGTTAGGAAATTTTTATTTTCCTGGTAAAAATTCTTAGAAAGTATTCCTTGCCTATGGAGAGTTCCTTTTTCTTGAATTTCTTGCTGGCAACCAGATTTAATTGTGACTTACAGCTGCCTGGGACATAAGAACGGACATATTCCTCCAAAGAACCCGGTCGTCTACTATTAATATCACAAATTAATTAATTAGAAATTAATTTCAAAACTTAAGAATAAATGTTGAATTTTAATGCAAAGAAAACTGAGAAATATTCATAACAAGTGAACGTGCTGACAATCGCACAACTGAATAGAGTTCACCAAAATATTGATATCAGAATATAAAAAAATGTATCTTTTAATAAATTTAAGCTTACTGACTTTGGCTGCTCTCCTCGCTAGAAGATTCGACGATAAAGATGAACTTCATAAGAACATTTTGAAGCTCGATCAGAAAACATCAGTATTTCTATCTTCCTGTCTTCGTTTATAGAGGCCATGTATTCCCTGAGTATTCGAAGGCCGTTTTCTGTTTTCTTCAATGTGTTTTGGTTCTCATTTTCTTTTGAAATTTTATCCACGTCTTTCTCTGAGATTTCTACAAATCGAGCCGCCATATTTAATTCAGTGAACAAGCGACGAGAAATGGGCGGGAAAATTGTTTTGATATTTTTTTGCAAACCTTCTAAGCAAACAAATTTGCTCACAATCGACAGTCAAAAGCAGTGGAATTCGACAGCCTCATTCTTCATTTGAAACTGATTAAGACGGATATGGTCATGACTGTGGAAACGGAAAATTGCAATTACAAATTTTTATATGTAATAGGACTCCATGCTGTCCAATTAAGAAGTAATTGGACGAGGAAATTTCCGAGGACTGCCAAAAATTGGACGAGGCCGTGGCCGAGTCCAATTTGGCAGTCAGAGGAATTTTTCGAGAATAGTGGATCCCAATGTTACATGTGTTACCGTCAATATTCAGGGCTTAGAGCCATATTGAAGGAAACTTTAAGATTTGAATAATGTTCTTGTTCTCTTTGAATTTAGGTCAGAGTACTAGTCCTGTATTATCCACCATAAAAATCATTAATTAATTAATCACAATAATCAAAATAATTAATCCATTAATCACAACAATTCAAAAAAACACATCAACTGGTTATCCCCATTGCTAACTCATAGTATATATAATAGTTTGCTGCTTAACGGTACTTGAGCGGTTTAACTCATTCAAGACTTGATTTAAAAATCTTTAGAAATAATAGAACATTTCGTCATGAAAATTTCAGTTGAAAGGACGCATAATCATTTTATGCAACGTCGATCGAAAGATAGCAAYCTTAGATATTCTCTCAACAAACTAAGCAAATCCTGTTGATGTTGTAATTCCATTAAATTGGCCATATTCCTAGATGACGTCACAGTAACGTCATAAATCCTACATAATGTTTGAGGATGCACATTATTGTATATCGATATCCACGTAGCCTATCAAATACCACAATGATTCGTTTCTGCTCTTCTACAATGTTATGGGTTGTTTTATTTCCATGGTAAACACTTGTGAAGCAAGTGTTATCACGCTCCATCGTGCCTCTGTCTTCTTAAAACCACCCGTATATCTGAATCTCACCTTCAACATTGTGAGCACTACTTAATGATAAAAAATTAACAACAAGAAATTCCATCTTTGGGTATTCCATCTTTGGTTCCGAACAGTGCCTATACTTTACAAATTGGTACTGTCTTAGCTCTAAAAAAAACAGTTCTGTTAAAAGTTAACAGCGCAGGATTATTGAGGACAATTTTTTTTTGGCTACAATTCTGACAGCGTTGTATAAATGGTGAAACTAATAGATTTCTTGGAAAACGTGACTGTCATAGAGTTTTGGGCTTCCTGTGAGAAGCTGTGCTATTAAATCCAGAGAAGGATTACTTGAGTGAACCTGATTTTTTGTGGTATTTACGTCGTTGGAATTCAATCATCAATCACAGATCGCTTCTATGCATATAACATTTACATATTTTTTCTCTGTAGGGGTCATTTTATAGGTTAGCGGTTTTGCTGGTTTCTACTGATTTTAGAGGTCTCGGTCTCTGTCATTTTTGTGGCGGTTCAGTTACGGTTGAGAAGATATCAGTCGGCTGCGGATTTGATGATTTTGCGGTTAACGGTTTCACAGAGCTGTTTTGTGCGGATTCGTGGTGTGTCAACACTGTATAAGCCGCTTCCATATCCATATGTCGAAGTCGTACGACAAACTTTGGTTGATTGAAAAAGAAATTATCTATACAAATATTTGCAAAAAAACGTTTGACATGGCGTAGAGAAAATAAAGCGTTTGGCCTGAGTTTTCAGCTTGCCGCCAATGTCATCCTTAATGGAGGGTCTCAATGGGGTGGTACGCATCACGACTCACGGCTAAAAATTTGGCTATTTCACGACTCACGACTAATTTTTTCGAATCACGGTTAACTAGATTACTTTCAGATTTTTTGAAATGAAAACAAGGTTTTTTATTACTCATGTAATTTGTTTTGTGCTAGAGATAGTTAGCCTGAGTTCTTCCTTCTACGCAKGCTAAGAGATAGATAGTGAGTGTGGGAGCACAGTGTCCCCTTGTACGTTATAGACACTCAGTTCTGTCAGTTATTATAATATTTTATCATCATGCACTCTCACATGTCAAATTTTGTCCATGCCCTGGCTCTTGTCTGCAGGAC